ATTATATTATACTAAAAATGTAGATTTTTTTTATATTTAATTAAATAATTAATAAATTAATAATTAATTTTTATTTTTAATATAAATTTATAATTAAAAATTTATATTTATTAAATGTTTTTAGGTATATTTGTTTTAAAGACCTAAAAGTAAATTAAAGAGACAAAAACTTTGTGGGACAGAGCATTGGCCCCAAATATTCTACTTACGTACATTGAAAACCCATTGACTATTACTAAATTCCACAGGCAGCATCCAGAGCAGTGGCTATGGCCATTCAGGTGCTCCCCGGCTTGACCGCATTTTTTTGTTAATTTTTTTTTTTTAAAGTGGATCCCAGCATGTAGATTATCTGGAACTTTTGTTAGAAAAATCAAAAAGATTTCATCTTGGATCGCAATTGGGGTTGATTCAAATTGGAAAAAAGAAACGATCTTTTGAATAATTTACGGAAAAAGTTTTAAACCCATCAAAGAATTGAAATACTTTTTATTCCACTACAAGCAGAAAGAATTACAATAGGGAAAAGCAAAAATGGTACAAAAATTATGTATAAAGACTATAGAAAACCGGTGCCGGCGAGGCCATGGTGAAGGAGATTATGAGCAATGTGATCCCTGGCTTGGATAGAATTGAGAGACCTAAGATTGTTTTCAGGGATCATTTCATCGTCGAATAGCTCGAACTTGAACTCTGGATCCATGTCTTCGTTTCTTATTTCGCAGATGTTGTGCAAGACGCAACAGGCTCCAAGGACCATTGGGAGCTCCTGGAGCTTCACCTCGGTTCTCTTCTGCAAGCAAGTCCACCGTCCTTTGAGTTTTGTGAATGCATCCTTGGCGGTTTTTTGAATTTCGCTGATCTTTTCATTGAATGCGTGTTGGGTCCATGTGAGGTTCTGGTGGGTGTATGGGACCAGAACCCAGTCCATTAACGGGTACCCGGAATTTCCAACCATCCAAACATTGTTCAAGAGTCCCTGACTGGCCCTCTGGCACAGGGCGGATTTCCCCAGGACTTGATCGTCCGGCATTGAACCCGGCCACCCGATGCAGACATCGGTGAAAACCCCCCTCGGATCGACAACTCCTTGGATTGTAATCGAATAGGAAGTCTTCTGGTTCCTCTCGGTGTGCCTCTTGTTGAAGTATGAAGCCACGCTGATCTTGGGGGCAATAATTGGAATATGGGTTGTGTACATTGAGCCGCCAACGTTGGGTATTCCGGACTTGGTTTCGAATTCCTCCTTGATCGCCTCCAATCTGTTTTCGTCCGGCCACTGAAGAAACTTGGGCATCAAGACACTCTTTATCGCCGAGCAAACCTCCAGTACCAGTTTGTGACAGGTGGAAATCCCCAACCCGAAACGTTTCGAAACAAGCCTCAGGGGCTCGCCGGTGGCCAGCCTCCATATACAGACCGCAACCCTTTGGCGAACAGGTATCGCCTCGCGAAGCATAGTGTTCTTCTTCATCACCACCGGCTCCAATTCCTCACAGATCATCTTGAATGTCGCTTTACTCATCCTAAACGCCTTGCGAAACTCCTCCTCTGGGAAATCCGGATGATTACATCGCTCCCACCAGTCCTTGGAACGGTCCTTCACCCACAACCGCCTCTGGTGACCCGACCCGGTACCCGACTGCGCCAGGTTTATTTCCGACCCATCAGTCTGCACCCCCACCGTCGCCGCCATAGCAACCGCCGAAGCCGACTTCCGAGCCCGTTTAGTTCTCGAATTATCCAGAGTGTCCAAATCAGAGTAATGGGTTTGCATCTGATTGTAATATTCATTCATCGCCTGCACTTTCTGTTTGTGATTTGCTTCGAGACAAGCTTTCTCCTGCTCCGATTCAATCAACCATCGATCCTGCTCCTGCTTCGCCTCCTCATCTAAGAACAAAATCGATGCAAGAATATCCTCACACCAACCATTCGTTAACTCAGCCATCTCAAATTCCTGGTCCTTTCTCCTCCGCTTCTTCAGATTGTCGTTGTTCCCACTGAACTCGTCATCCATTTCAGGGAACCAGGTAGTGATATGGGGAAACTCTTCCTGACTAAGAAATGGGAAAGAAGTGATTTCCATGTAGTGAGTGCTGGTAAACTGTTTGATGAAATGCTTGAATGAGCAAATGTGAAAGCCGACGAGTTTAGATTGGGGATGGGATAGGTGGTATATATACACACGCGGGGCAGGGGGCCGCGAAGATGCAGAAGAGAGAAAGCAAGCGCGTGCGCAGGTGTGAACGCGATGATATTTGCTTTGACGGTGACTTGACTTTTAGAATTGTTATTTTTAAGTGTTAAATCTACGCGGTGGGGGAGATTTAATTTTTAGCAGAGAAATATGGTGCTTATTTAGGGAAGTCCGGGAGAAGGTTCAGAAAACACTCATTTGGGAACCGTGGGAATTTAGGGGAAGGTAAAGGGAAATAGCTCCAAAAGATTATTATTATTATTTTTTGGGATCCCCTAAAAAAATAAAAATAAAAATAAAAATTCTTTCATACGGTAAGAATATTATGTTAGTAGTATTCCTGTTTATTAACGAAGCAATACTATCAATTTATATCATTTATAATTATTAAAAATTAATTTTATAATTCATTGATTGTTTTATTGTAAATGAAAGCCATAGATATTGATATATCACTATGTTAATATATATTAATAGATGGAGTTACTATTAACATGATATTTTATTTCACAAAAAAATTGCTCCTTAAAATGATCCCGCTAACTATTTTTCTTATGTTGTAAAAAAAAAAATAAAAAAAAAGAAGACAATTTGTTAAAAATTGATTTCATGTAATTTTCATTAAAAAGGAGAAAAAGATTGTACTAGGAGCACAATTGAAAGTTGTGCCTCTTCTATCTTGCTTTTAGCCAACATATATTTGTAAATCATGTTATTCAAATTTAATGGTAAATCATTTAAATCATTGAAGTTTTCGTTTTTTATTCTATAAAAGTTTTATGAAATAGCTTGTTTTGGTGGAATATCTAGAAGTTTTCCATGAAAATTGGTGAAGCATTTAAATCAATCAAATTGATTAATTATATAGCCCATTCTAAAATTATTGCTTTGTGTAGGCTTTGACATCATGCTCTAAAATATAAGGATTTATGAAAAAACCAAGTTGCATTGCTTATTTACTAATTGGACCGATTATCATAATAACTATGAGATCATAATTAAAATCAATTATAATATTTACAATCAAATATAATTTAGAATGAGATTAGAATCAATCTATTATATAATATGATTTTTTAATACAAATTTTAGTACTAATTTAACTAAAGACAAATTATCTTACATAACATAGCCAATATTCAGAGTCCTTAAACCTCGTTCAGCGCAAATGAAGAGCAAGACGCATCCCAACTCTGAATTTTTTTTTAAGCCTTGAGATATAAAAAATTAATTAGTGAGTCATTAATTATTGCTTGTGGTTTATAATCTCGTGTTTATATAGTTTAGATTATTTTTATTTTTTGATGGGAAAGTTTAGATTAATATTAATTCTATAGAACGTGTTCTTTTTGGGGTAGGCTAAAATTGCCAAGTCAAATTAGTTAGGGTTTATTATTTTTTTATTTGTTATTGAAATTAGTATTAATTATGTGACTTGAACAACTTTGATTTGGTTTTAGTAGTTGATTTCATCGATAGGCTACATCGTAAATGTTTCGTAATTGATCAAACTGGGGGGGAGAGATTTGAATGCTAATATCTTATGCATTGCCAATAAAAACAAAAATCATGTTTTTTAAAATTTTTAATTAGCCAATATAAAGAAGAAAAACTTTTTCTCAAGCTACTTATTTTTGTCTTAAACTAAGTAATATAAAATAAATAAATATTAGCGGGACTGAGTAGAATTGGTGAAAGTCATGTTATGCTCCGTATTTTCTCTACTTCAAACCTATATTTGATATTTAATTAATAAAGATTTCTCTTCTCATAAAAGAAGAAAAAAGAAAACTCTTAATTGATCGTACATAAAATAGAAAATTAAGATATTTAACTACAATCATAACTTAACAAATTCATACTATATCTCAATTATTTCATGTTATTGATTAAATGATTTAACATATTTGATGTTAAAATTAGTTAACATCCTAATTTTTTTTATTTATAATTGATTGTAATTAACTAAGTGGTAATTAAGGAGAGCATAAACCAATTTGAGGTTTTTAGTCAACCAGCTATGCTATGTGCAAATTTAATCCAACTAAATTAGTCCGATGTGTATTAAAAACGATGTGAAGTAAACTTATTTTGGCTATAGAGGTGAACCATATATACTTAAGTTAGTATTAATTTTATTAATTTATCCCCATATAAAACAAATATTAGTTTATCGTGAAAAGATTATTGTGCTTATCCTTAACTGTGCTTTCTAACTGGTAAAATATTTATCCTACTCAAATTCAAACATTATTCTTTGCTACCCCTTGATATTTAGCCATCATCATTGGATAACATGCACAACCAACCAAAATTATATATTACATTTGCAGTTTACAACAATATCAATTAAGATTATTTACCTAATTAAATTATTATTATTATTAATTTTTATTTTATATTACATAATGAAAGACAATAATTTTACACCTCATAACTCACTGAATTCGTATGACATATAATTCAAATTTAAAATTTTTTATTAAATTAATATTTTTTTTAACAATCAAAATTACATTAATGGTATTAATATTTGTTCAAAGGAGAGAAGGAATGTCAAGCACTAGGCCCGATTTGAAGAGCAAGGTGCCCCCACTATGCTTCTCAAATGAGAAGCGTGATCACTGGACCGTGTAATAGTGAGCTCTTATTAAGTTAATATTAAGTTACTTAAGTCATTAACTTAAATTATTTTTAATAAAATAAAATTCAACAACCTTTT